GATTCTGCTTGTCCCTCTTTGTGGCTGTGGCATCCAGTCCCCAGCCACTCCTGGACAGCAAGCTGAACTCAGCTGGGGCACCATAGTGGCCAGGAGGCCTCGTAAGGGCCCAGAGGCCAGGACCCCCCTCAATAGGAGCGTCTTACTGTGGAAAATCACGGATGAGTCCCCAAATGTAGTGGCAAATGGGCTGATTTCCACAGAAGACTGAAGGATTTAATTTTAGGGATAACCAGAGTTTATTGAATTTAGACCGGTCACTGCACATCCCCAACTTGCAGGTCAGGAATGTGGGCTGCTGGCCTTTCTTTGCTTCAACCTTAAATGCACCTTTGGTTTCTACGGTAATAGATTGGAATGTTGCAGCCATTCACATAGGTGGCCACATGTTGTTTTCCTTATCCAAAGTGCCCAGGTCAGACCCTGGTCATGAGCCCAAGCACAATGATATATACTTTGGGCACTCTGTTCTGTATGTCCCCTTTTACATAACCATACATTTCCTTTAGGGTTACATTGTTTATCTAGGGCCAGGGAAGGGAAGAAACAACCCAGGCAGGGTCATAGGTTCTTATCTGGGTCTGGGTGTTGTCTTTGATCCGGCATTCCAGGGCAAAGTCGACTCTAAGGTTAAGTTTTACAACCCCTCCAGGATGTTTCTCAAGACACATTTTGAAGCTAGTAGAAAAACTAGAATTGTTTTATCTCAAACATGATAATCTAAGGTTCACCAGCCCCTACAGTATGACATTTTTAATTCTTCTGGAAAAATACCCTGAAGGGGAATAGCTGGGTTATGTGGGACTTCTAATCCTAGTTTTGTGAGGAATCTCCAAACAGATTTCCACAGTGGTTTCACCAGTCAACACTCCCACCAGCAGTGGAGTAGGGTTCCTTTTTCTCCACAGCCTCTCAAGCATTTGTCATTGGTTGATATCTTAATGACAGCCATTCTTTGTGGAGTGAGATGAAATCTCAGTGTTATTTTAATTCACATTTCTTGAATGACTAATGATGTTCAATATGTTTTCATATATTTATTCACCATTACTATTTTTTCATCTGAGAATTGTGTGCTTATCTCAGAAGCCCATTTTTGGATTGGGTCTTTGAATTTCTGGGACCTAGTTTTTTTTTTTAATTCTTTGTATGTTCTAGACAGGAATCTTTCATCTGAGAGGCAGCTGGATAAAATTTTTTCCAAATTTGTGGGTTTTCTTTTTACTCTGTTGGTGAT